AGTAAAGATTACTAATTCCCAATCGGGAAAATAAAACACGAAAAGTACCACAAAATATAAATACAACTCGCAGTCAGTGGAGGAGCTAGGGAGCTCACAACACATTCAGACTCTTAACTAGTCGTTGGGTAAATATGGGGAATCTATGAGATAAAGAAGAAGTGTATGATTAGATACGTCGAGGAGGTTAAATTTCATTAAGTTCGAGTTAATCCAGATACCTAGAGAGGAGAATGGACGAGCTGATTAGTTGGCAAAGATGGCTAGGAGGAACTAGCAAAGTAATCACGACATTACACTAGGAAAAGAGCATCTTATGAGAGGTCATGCAGTTAGAATAAAAAGAAGACTAGAGAACACCGATTAGACAACTAGTGCAAGGGAAAGTGCCATCTGGAGAAAGGCAACAAGCTGAACGCACAATTAGACAATTATCAAAGTAGTTTAAGTTAGAAGGAGTTCTTTACAAGCGGTCATAGGTTGGATCTCACTTAAAGTGCGTCTCAGAATAAAACAAGGAACACATTCTAAGGGAAATATATGAAGGATATTGTGAAGCTCAAGCAGGTGCATGAGCTATAGCAGGAAATGCGCTAAGGGTTGGTTACTTTTAGCCAAAGATGAGAGCTAAGGCCACAGAGCTAGTACAACACTGTGAAAAATGCCAACAAAATGGGCAGATCACACATCTACCTGTTGAGAAAATGACCACTACCAGTTCCTCAATCCCATTTGCTCAGTGGGGAATCGCTCTGGTAGCACCTCTACTTATGGGGACGGGACAAAGATTTTTTTATTTTTAATTTTTTGTCGTGGCAGAGAACTACTTCAGTAAGTGGGTTGAGGTAGAGCCCTTACCTTGCATTACCGAGAATAAGATGATACATTTTATGTTCAACAATATGTGTTGTCGATTTGGAGTACCGAAATACTCATTTAAGACAATGGAACACAATTTCAATGAGTGGGGATACAAAGTTGGTGTGTCGACATGGGCATCAAGCATAGATTTGCTTCAGTTTCCCACCTCCAAGTTAACGGCCAAGTCGAGGTAACAAATAGAACAATTCTGCAGAGACTTAAGAAGAGATGGGAAAAAATTTCAGGAGAATGGGTCAATGAGCTCACTTCAGTGTTTTGGGTGTTGGGGCTCGGTTAGGAACATCGAAATTATGCATCATGGATCATCTACGAATTAATCCTAAGCATAGTGGATCTAGAGGTTAGGGTTAAATGCACACCGTTAAAAAATTCACAGACTCTGTACAAACATACACCCGACTATGGGGCCTGATGAACAGTCCTGAGATGCGTCTTCTATATCTTCCGATCGTATCGCCTTGGCTTGGTTTGTA